GATTCGAACTGCCAAATTGCAGGCAGCCAGCAGTCAGCAGAAGTAGCCTGCAGTACTGCATTCTAACCACTGCGCCACCATTGCTCAATGGAAAATGGAGAAGGAAAGGAGAGGCGATAGGGGCGGATGCAGTGGTGGGTTCCGGCTGGTACGGCCCACCGGTAGTAGTTGAGAGCAGCGGCCACCATACTGGTACGGTGGCTAGTTTGGCCGCCGCCCGCATTCCATACCTGTTTTTAGAGCAACTGGCCAATTACGCATGCGCGCACAGCATGTGGTGCCTGCGAGCCCTCCATGGAGCTGGGTATCTCAGGGGCGGTAAGAGTGTGCATGCATGCACCGCGCACATGGATGATCAGGACACCCGGTGCCGTGTGCAGCATACCAGTAGCGACGGGGAGAGGAACCCACCACTGGGCGTATGGGTTGATCAGCAAGTTACTTGGAGGAGAGAAGTGAAAAGAAGACCACCAAATCCTGAGGGCTCCCAGGCAGCAGGAAAGGTCATGCAATGGGGCAAAACTCACTTAACACATGTCTCACTTAGCCACAGGAATTCAGTGAGGGTGGTAAGTCAAGGACTACCTAGAGTTAACCCATTGAATATATTTATTTTACTCTTTGTGGCAGGATTTGCAGAGTACAAATCTCATGGAGGTATGCATGGCCCTCACAGCAGCCAGCCAGCTTTTCCCCCAAGAAATGATTCCGGCTGTCCTTCCACTCATAGAGGACAAACTCCAGCATTCAAAGTACGTGCCACACTTTGGCTCCATTTGTTGAGAAAGGTCGAATTGATTAGAGATCAAGCGTATTGCAGTAGTGCAAAGCCGGAACTGAAAATCACGCGCCAAAATCCCTTAAGTTCTACTTTTCCATCCCTTAACACTCTCTCATTGCTCCCTCCCAGTGTAACCAATCCAGTTGAGGCAATATGTTTTCCTAACCATCAGTTCAAATGCAGTTTAGCCTCCCTCTTTCTCCCAGCTGGGTGACCTTGAGGCAGCATCTTGAAATTCAGCGTTTACTTTCGTTTCCCCACGTTCCTCCCTTTCCTTCCCTTTCCCTCCAGTTTATGGCAGTCTCACCATGAACACAAGCCAACATAGGGAGTTCCACCACAAAACCGTGTTCGACTAAAGCGCGCTCGACGAACCCGCGTACCTGACGTCATCACAGCGCGACGAAAAAAGCACGCTG